GATTTCATAACTAATAGCAAAGTGAACAGCCGTGGCGCGGTGGCATTGCACTTGCCTTAGTAACAAAAAAATAGTGGTTCGAGCCACACCTCTGGGTCAGTTTTGCGACATCGGGTAGGAAGGAGGCGTGAACTTCCTATTAAATGCTCTTCCGCGGCACTCTGTGATAAGGCCATAAGGACTTCTTGGGGCACCTTAAAAAATTTCAACTAACCAGCAAGTTTGGGTTTGATGGTAATACAAAACAATCAGTAAACAAAAAGCTGAAAACTGTATTTGTGAAAATGTATCATTTGTTGTAACGTTAGGCTGACAGACTTAGTACCACTTCACATCTGCAGACATTATGAAGAGAATATCATAAAGACATTATAAGAGAACATAGTTAAATAAATCTGCGACATTACTTTTTTACAAATATTTTATTTAATAATAATGCAAAAACAGATTTTACTAAAAAAAAACTAGTTTTAAAAATTAAAATATTTGTTTGTTTTTTCATAAAAAAAGTCCAATTTAAGTTTTAAAAATTAACAAGTGCTCAAAAAAAAAAAAATTTCTTAAAAGTTAATTTTTGGAAAAAAGGGATTTTTTTTGTGCAATCAATGCTCACCATTCAAAATTTATTGTATTCAATTTTGATCCTAAGGCAAGGTTGATCAAAATTTTAAATTGAACTTTATGTTAAAAAAAACTACCTAGATAAATAGTGCCTGATACTATCACTTTTTTGTTAATAAAGATATGATACTAATAACCCTAACGGGCATAAAACTGCTGCGCTGATCAGTAAATTAAATAATATAAGATAAAAAACTATAAAAATTAAATAAAATAACTTCAGAGTTACTCAAGCTTTAAAAATTTCTTTTTTGATTTGAAACTTAAATGAACTTAATAACTTTGCCATATATTCAAATCCTTTTTGATAGATATTCCATATATTTGGACCTCGATATGCAATGCTGTATTCTATATATATATATATATATATATATATATATATATATATATATATATATATATATATATATATATATATATATATATATATATATATATATATATATATATATATATATATATATGTATATATATATATCTGACATTAGTTAAAATAATAAAAAGAAATTACAATTGAATAAAACCAGGCAGGAGCAAAAAAAAAACAACAGACAAATCGTCTTATTGCCGAGCCCCCGTTACATTGATGTTTCGTAAGCGTTTAGAATATTAACGTGCGCAATAAATAATCAATAAAATAGTATATACACAAAAAATCTTTCAGAAAACTTTCAAAATGAAATAAAGAAACTTTTAACAACAATATTTCAACGGAATAATTGAAGTAATAAAATGAAAAAAAAGATAACCAAGAAGCTATCAATCCACAAAAATTGTGTTGTGTTCTATCATAGTATAATATAATAAAGAAATATAACTAAATTATAATATAATAATGAAATATAACTAAATATTTGTTACTAATTATTTTAAATCAACAAAAGCAAAACAAAAACAAAACTTGAAAAGTTTAAGAAATGTAAAAAAGTTTAAGAAATGTAAAAAAGTTAAAGAAATGTAAAAAAAATGAAGAAATGTAAAAAAGTTAAAGAAATTTAAAAAAATTTACAGACTGGTCAATGATATAATCACATAAATTATTGTTCGGTCAGTAAATTGCTGAAAATGGGCTCTTCAAACAAATTAAACATATCAACTTTAAATAGTTTGTAATATTTTTAAAATTTTTGATACTTTTGCACCATTATTATACTTGACTTAAAAGTTAGAATAGTGGTCTAGTTTTTATTAAATCTGTCGGGATTATCCAGAATCGTTTATTTTACAGACTGGAGGGTTTCTAATTACTTAATTGTGTTATGAAGAAAAAAAATTAGGGTGCACAAGGTTAACACCATGCATAAAGGAATCATGGAATCCAAAAAATACATCACTTGAAATTTATTGCATAATTTACAGGCCTGTTAGTATTATCATTGCATAAATTACAGACCGGTCAATAAATTATAGAAAAAAGGAATGTACAAACCAATTGGGAATATCGACCTTAAATATATTTGATATCTTTGAACCGTTATTACATTTGACTTGAAATTTTAAGTAGTGATCCAGTTTTTATTTATTTGTTTATTGTTTTTTTTTATTTATTTATTTGAGTTTTCATGCTATATTTTTCTATACAATGTTTTTATATCCGAAGATATTGTTGGCTTAGCATAGGAACAGCCACAAATAGTCATTAAGACTAATCCAAAGTAGCGTCCGTTATTAACCAACATTTTTGCGTATCCAAAGTACTACTCAAGCACTGAGTTGGCGGTGGCGGGATTTGAACTCGTATCGTTCAACAGTGCGGGTTTTAACTTTTTCTTTAACGCTCTAACCATCTGAGCTATCCCGCCACTAAATATTGAATCTGTTGAAATCATACAAAATTGTTTGTTTTACAGACTGAAGTGTTTTTACTTATAATGAA